TCAACTTGCAATATTGAAAGCAATACTGAAAGAGAAGAGGACTTAAAATACTTACTGATAAAGTCCAAAGACCACAGCCCTTGGTATGGTTGCATCCCAAAGTAAAGAAAACAAAATCCTCACCACTGGACCAATAAACAACATCCATATAAATGAAGAAAAGATTGAAGTTGTCAAAGACATCATTTTGCTTGGACCATCCACCAACACTCATGGAAGCACCAGTCAAGAAATCAAAGAATGTATTATATTAGGCAAATATGCTGCACAGACCTCTTTTAAATGTTCAAGAGCAAAGACATCAGTTTGAAGACTGATGTGCACATAATCCAAGTTATGGTATTTTCAATAACTAATATGGATGTGAAAATTGGACGGTGAATAAAGAAGACTGTAGAAGAATCGATGCATTTGAGTTATGGTGTTGGAGGAGAATATTACAATTACCATGGACTGCCAACAGAATAAGCAGATCTGAATTGGAAGAAGTACAGTTAGAGGTCTCCTTAGAAACCAGGATGGCCAGACTTCATCTCTTATACTTCGGACAGATTATCAGGAGGTACCAGTTCCTGGAGAAGTATATAATGTTTGGTAAAGTGGAGGTTTGGAGTAAAAGAGGAAGACCCCCAACAAGTTGTATTAGCACAGTGGCAACAGCAATGGGCTCAAAAGTAGCAATGATTGTGAAGTTGGTGCAGGACCTGGCGTTTCGTTCTGTTGTGCATAGGGTCTCTATGAATTGGTAGCAACTTGATGGCACCTAACAACAACAACATGGACAAAATATTGAATTTTTCATCAAAAGAAGATGAAAGGTATACACAGAGTCACTTTACTAAAAAGAAATGGTCACTGTTCAATCATTTAAAGAGGTAGACTATGATTGAGAACAAATGGTGCTAAAGGGAGAAATATCTGCTGCATGGAAGATAAAACAAAGTTCCAGGAATATATGGGATACAACTTGATATCTTTCCAAAAACTGATGAAGCACTGTTGGTGCTCACCCATCTATACCAAGAAATTTGGATGAAAACTACTTGGCCAACCAATTAGAAAAGATCTATATTTGTGCCCATTCCAAAGAAAGGCGACCCAGAAGAATGCATAAGTCATTGATTAAAACCATCAACATCACATGCAAGCAAAAGTTTGTTCAAGGTAATTCAGATACAGCTGCAATAATACATCAACCAGAAACTGCCAGAAATTCAATGTGGATTCAGAAGACGATGTGCAGGTAGGGATATCATTGCTGATGTCAGATGAATCTTGGCAGAGAATATCAGAAAGTTGTTTTCTTGAGTTTATTGTTTATGCAAAGCCTTTTGATTGTGTGAATCATGATAAGTTACAGATAACATAATTTTAGATATTCTAGAACACTGGAATATCATTGCTGATGTCCAATGGATCTTGACTGAAAGCAGAGAATATCAGAAACATGTTTACCTATGCTTTATTGACCACGCAAAGCCTTTCAATTGTGTGGATCATGACAAGCTATGGACAACATTGAGAAGTATGAGTACTCTAGAACACTTAATTGTACTTCTGAGAAATCTGTACCTGGACCAAGAAGCAGTCGTTCGAACAGAGCATGGGAACACTGAATGTTTTAAAATTGGGAAAGGTGTGCAACAAGGTTGTGTTCTTTCACCATACTTATTCAACCTGTATGTTGAGCAAATAATATGAGAAGCTGGGTTCTATGAAGAAAAACGTGGCGTCAGGATTGGAGGAAGATTCATTAACAACCTGTGATATGCAGATGATATAACCTTGCTTGCTGAAAATGTAGAGGACTTGAAACATTTACTGATGAAGATCAAAGAACACAGCCTTGGGTATGGATTGCATCTCAATATAAAAAAAACAGAAATCCTCACCCCTGGACCAATAAACAACATTCTTATCAATGGAGAAAAGATTGAAGTTGTCAAGGACTTCATTCTTCTTGGATCAACTATCAACATTCGTGGAAGCAGCAGTCAAGAAATCAAATGACGGACGTTTTGCCTTAGGCAAATCTGCTGCACAGGAACTTTTTAAAGTGTTGAAGAGCAAAGGTGTCACCTTGAGGACTAAGGTACGCCTGACCCAAGCCATGGTATTTTCAATAACCTCATATGTATGTGAAAGCTGGACAGTGAATAAGGAACATCATAGAAGAATTGATGCCTTTGAATTGTGGTGTTGGAGGAGAATACTGAAAGTGCCATGGGCTGCCAAAATAACCAATAGATTTGTTTTGGAATAAGTGCAGCCAGAGTGCTCCTTGGAGGCCATGATGGCTAAGCTTCGTCTTTCAAACTTTGGACATATTGTCAGGAGGGAACAGTTGCTGGAGAAGGATGTCATGCTGGGTAAGATGGAGGGTCAGAGAAAAAGAGTAAGACCCCCAACGAGATGGATAGGCCAGGTAGCATCATTGATGGCATCAGGTGTGGCAGCGGTAGTGAGGTTGGCCCAGAATCGGACATTGTTTCATTCTGCTGTGCATGGGGTTGCTATGAGTCAGTTCCCACTCGATGGCATCTGACAACAACACAACAACAACAGAACACTGGTGGTGGTTATGTGCCATGGTGTCAGTTCTGACTCATAACAACACTGTACAGAGTTTCTGAGGCTGTAAGTCTTTACAGGAGCAGAAAGTCTCAACTTCCTCCCATGGAACAACTGGGAGTTTCAAACTGCTGATCTTAAAGTTTGCAGCCTGATTCGTAACCACTGTGCTACCAGAACTCCTATAGTGTGCTCAAAAGAAACTTGTACATAGACTAAGAGGCTGTTGTTTGAACAGAACAAGAGGAAACTGAATAGTTTAAAATCAGGAAAGGTGTGTGCCCGGGTTGTATTTTTTAACCACTCATGTTCAGTCTGTACTCTGAGCACATAATCTGAGAAACTGGATTATCTGAAGAAGAAAGAAACATCACTATTTGAAAAAGATTTATTAACAATCTGCAATATGCAGATGATATAACCTGGTTTGCTGGAAGCGAAAGGACTTAAAATACTTAATGATGAAGATCAAAGATTTCAGTGCGAATTGCACTTCAATGTAAAGAAAGCAAAAATCCTTACAGTTGGACCAGTAAATAAAATCATGATACAGGGAGAAAAGATGTCAGTTGTCAAAGACTTCATTTTGCTTTGATCCACAATCTACACTCATGGAATCAGCTGTTAAGTAATCTAAGGCTATATTGCATTAAACAAATCTGCTGCACAAGATTTCTTTGAAGTGTTCAAGAGCAGAGATGTCTGTTTGAGGACCCAAGACATGGTATTTTCAACAGCTACATATGCATGTGAAACCTGAACAATGAATAATATTGAAAGTACCATGGACTGCCAGGAAAACAAACAAATTTGTATTGGAGGAAGTATAGCCAGAATGTTCCTAAAAGCCTAAAATGGTGAGACTTGGCCTCTTATACTTTGAATATATTTTTAGGAGGGACCAGCTCCTTGAGAAGGATGGCATGCTTGGTAAAGTGGAAGGTCAGCAAAAAAGAGGAAGACCTCTGATGAGATGTACTGATACAGTGACAGTAGCAATGTGCTCAAGCACAACATTGCAGGTGGGACAGGTTAGGGCATTGTTTTGTTATGTTGTACGTGGGGTGGCTATGAGTCGGAACTGACTCAACAACACTTAACAACAACAAAGTGATTCTTGTGTTATATACAAGAATATTGACATCATTTTGAAACCCAAGGTAGAGTCTTCAATGAGGCAAGGAGGAGGGGATGAGAAGTGATGTTACTGCATTTCACAGTGTTGTTCAGTCTGATCCTGTTACAGCCCTCCCTATGTTTGTTCTGGATCGCTAGCCTGGCACACTATTTCCTAGTTGGTACTCCTGGAGGACTTTGTTAATATGTCTGTCTACTACTCAGTAAGACAAGTCAGAGGACATTACCTACATGCTCCCCTTTGAACAGTAACCTCCCCACCATCAAAGGTGTGCCTTCTGCTCTGCATTACTCCCAGTACGTAGAGCTGTGAATGGAAAATCATTTATCTTTTTTGTAAATTCTGACTTTCTATTTTATTTGCACATAGCTAAATGGGCCCTCAATCATGTATGTCCAACTCATAGAAAGCCTATATAGGATTTCCAAGGCTGTAAATCTTTGTGGGAGAAAAAACTTTATTTTTCTCCTTTGGAGCTACTGGGCTCATGGGCTCAAAATGATGTTCTTGTGGTTCAAAGACCAGTGCTTATCCTACAAAGCCACTACATTCCCTGGTTACATATGGAATTACTTATTCAGCTAGGTTGTTATGTCTATTTCTGATGAAGACAACAAAATAAATTGCTTCTAAATAAAAGGCAGAAAAACAACAGTTTTCCTTCATTTATATATATGCATATATTTCTTTGATTGCCATGTTTCAGTAAGGTCATATAAAATTTTGACTGAATGAAATTTGAGTCAGTTTCCCCTTTAGAGGAAGACATAGTGTATGTTATTAAAAGAATTCCCATTTAGAATCTGTACGAAAAAACATCTTGAATAAGTCATTTGATTCATACTGTGGTGTTAAACTGTTACTTAGATTTACAAAGCAGTGGATGGGTTTTGTGAGAATTCCATCCATTTGTAGGCTGTTGTGAAGAATAAAAATTGATTTTCTGGTAACTATGTAATGTTGGGTACAAAGACTTGACTAGGCATTGAAATGGAAATAATAAAAAACCTAACTTGCATAGCTGAGCATGGGATGAATTTTCTGGGAAGAAAAAAAGTGATTTTGAGAGGACAGCATCTTTCAAAATCTTAATTTCAGTTGGCAGAGAAAACTCAATGGAAGCATCTGCAACACCCAGTCAAAAGGAAGAAAAGACCAATCAGACAAAGATCCAGACAGAAACACCACTAAAGATGGAGGTGGGGCGTTCCTTATCTTTTCGAACTGCAAGTAATCAATAAACTATTTACTTTCTTCATTTTTTTGGTCTGTCTGTATTACTGTTGCTTTGTGGCTATTCTTAAAAGAGTATCAAATTACTTCTATGATAAAGATACCTTATATTATAAGAACTGCTTTTATGTGATTATTTTTCCTGTGGTTTTATACTGCAAAGAGTAGATGTATTTTAAATAGATATTTTTCCTTGGTCTTTAAATTAATGTTTGTTCCCCAAAAAATCACCTTTGAAAAAGATCATATTAAATTATTAAAGCAAATAGGACTATCACCTATAAAATATTTTGTGAACATATTTTACAAATAACAGTAAATTATTACCGAAGTGTAAGAACCAACAAAAATAATATTTCCTACATCTCTGATATAGAAACTAAGGCATAAATTTAAGGTTTGAATTTCTAGTTTCTCTTTTTGTCTATTTGATCATTTTTCTTCTCTTAAATAAGTTTCCTTCTATTTGACTGTAAAGAATAAATTATGATATCTGGCAAACCTATTCATCAGAATCCAGTCAGCTTTGAGTGCAATGAAATAGTGGACTACTGTCTATGAACCATTTTTTAAAAACATTTGTCATGGGCGATAGATAAATTGCCATGTCATCTTAAGAAAAGTGATTTTTGAAAATTAGTCATTGGGTGTGCTCCCTTTTCTTTCAGAAAGTAACAGATAATAGATCCCTCTTGCTGACAACTCTGCAGATTGTCACATCAGCTGTAGGGAAGAGAAATTAGCCTTTTTATTTTTGTCTCATTGGACTGGTCCCAGTTCCATATTTTCATGTCATGTCGTGAATCCATAGAGCATTGTGAAAAATTACTCTGCATGAGAAACATGTGCTTAATGAAATTTTTTCTCAAAAGTATAACTCAATCTTTGTGCTAGGAAATTTTAAAGTCACCAGCCGCTCCTCAGAAACCCTATACAGGCTCCTCAGAAACCCTATACAGAACCACTCAATGGCATGTAACAACAACAAATCCGAGATGGCCCCCTCCAGTAAAATTTGAGTTGCTTGAAAATAGCATGTTGCTGTTGTTAAGTGCCATCAAGTTGGTTCCGACTCATAGTGACCCTGTATAGAGTTTCCAAGGAGTGGCTGGTGGTTTAGAACCACTGGCCTTGTGTTTCAAACCAACCTTGTAGTCCAGTGATTATCTTATAGTGCCACACCAAGACTCCAGCATAGTAAGACTCCTTTTTTTATGAATAGAAAAATTCAGTGAAAAGATTCTAGAAGTCTTATGAAAGTTTGTCTGGTCTGGAGAACCCATTTTTAAAATGCTACTATTGTTTATATTTTAGAAATTAGCATATTCAAAGATTTGATTGAGACATACCAAGTGATTTGCAAAAATGATAAAGTTAGGCCTTGTTGTAGAGACCTTTTCAAATATTTGTTTCCCATTTAATTCATCATCAAATATACATTGTGTGATACTAAATGTTAACAGCGATGGGCAAAGAAGATCTTAAATCTTAAATTTAAATACAATCATAGTTATTCATTCATTGGGAAAACACTTCCTAAGGGCATTCCTTTTTATAGTCCGTGGCAATGCAGTAGAAACTTTAGAGAGTAAGCCAAAGATGGAGGGGAAAAATGACTAAGCTGAGTTTATTAATGTGCTTTCTAAACATTGATTAAACAAATATTCATGAGTTGCTGTGCATGAGAATCCATCAGTATGTCGCAATACAATTCTTCCACAGGTGTTTGTTGTGTACCTCACATGTGATAGGTACTGGCCATTTTAGGGCAGACACTACAGAAATACAAGGCATGCCCCTGTTACAGAGACTACCGCACTCCTGTATGTAGCAAGCATGTAACTGAGTAGAGGGCTTGCTTCCCTGTCCACAGAAGTTAGCCTCTTGGAAACCTACTCTGGCTGAGTACTTAATTCTTGCAGACTATTGAAGTAAAGGATATGACCACTGGCTTGCCATGCCACAAAGGTACATCTGCAAAGCTTATACCCCACCTCACCTCCTCCAAAATAGAAGAGGATTAGTTGATACTTCTCTAAATATGAGGGCAATGTGGTAGAACAAAGCTGTGGGCTATTGTATGTGTGTGTGTGGATGGGAAGGGGGACAGGATGGAGTTGTTGGGAGTTTGATAACCATGCAGCTTAAAAGCTCTATACCTAGTGATTGGGATCCAACTACCCAAACCTGCCATCTGGTTATGCTGGATCCTTATACACTGTCCCAGAATTCAGTTGACATGTAGAGATCTACATATCTGCTGTTGCATATTTCTCCGTGTGTTACTTTTCACCCTAACTATTCTGACTCCTGAAGTTTGGGAGCTGCCTGGCCATTTCCCTTGTTTCCTTGTTCCATGCAAATGTCAAAGATGGTATTCAAAACAGAAATGAGATCTTTCAATAACATGCATGCTGGCACCATCTCAACATTTGCAATACTGATGAAATCAAAATCATACCAAACCCACTGCCAGTGAGTTGACTCTGCCTCATAGTTACACATAAAACAGAGTAGAAATGCCCCAAAGATTTTCCAGAGCAGACTGCCACAGCTTTCTTTCTCAGAATGGCTGGTACCTTTGAACCAAAGACCTTTTGTTTAGTAGCTGAACAATTAACATCTGAACCACCAGGATTCCTTGCAATCTTGATTTGGATGTGATAAATTAGATATATTTTATTAATAGGTACTTTTAACTGATGATATTATAAACATGAAAAAAATGATTCATTTAGAAGAATTGAATAAGCACACTAGAGTTTAACACATCATCAGAGACGTGAAAAGCAACTGATAAATCATTTTGAAGTCTAATGTCTTTTTGATTGTTAATAAGCAATTGTTTTCTGTTAGTATAATGTAGTTAAACCTTAGGTTGTTGCTCTTGATTCTGGCATGGGTCTTCTTTCTTCACTGTATGTATAATATACATCTTATACAAACCATATTTGCCTCTTTCTGTTCACATTAGACTTGCTGAAGTCTTCCGGAGAAAGAGTGGAGTTGCTAGCTTAATAACACAAACTTTGGATGTGAAAATGTTATCCTATGAATCAGATGTTGACACTTCCCTTATTACCATCTATAAAATGCCCATGATATGTTTTAAATATTCCCTCTCTGATTGTAGTAGGGGTAGTTTTATAAGCATCTATGACTTTGTTGCTTTTGTTAAGTGCCACTGAATTGGTTCCAACCCATAGCAACCCTCTATAGAGTTTCCAAGGAATATCTGGTAGATTTGAACCACTGACTTCGATGTTAGCAATTCAGTGCTTATCCAAATGTACCACACTAGTACTGTAACTTTAGGGGGCAAAAATATTTTCATGTATGAATTTTAGCATATTCTTCATTAGTGAGCAATTAGATCATTACCTCCATTAGTTGTCTTCTTTCTACCTCTATCAAACACAAATTTCAGCAGTTGAAAGTTGTGTTTTGCAAGAAATATTCTCTTCTTAGTTTTGCAATCTAACCATCTCATGCTAGATAGATTTAGATTATAATATCCAGTCATATTAAAGTACATATTAGTAGAAAAATACCCTAAATAATTTATTTCATACTTTTTAAAATGTCCTAAAACAACTATCAGCTTTTGAAAAATACACTTACATTTTTCAGTTCACTATCAAGATAGACTGCAGGTTGTATATAGCTTTGAGGATTAGACATTATACATAAAACAAATCTGTTCATAGAAAACCTCTTAGTCCTCAAAACTGACATCTTTGCTGTTGAACACTTTAAAGAGATCTTGTATAACAGATTTGCTAATGAAATATGTCCTTTCAATTTTTTCTTTTTTTATATATATCTTTTATTGTGTATTGAGTGAGTGAAGGCTTACAAGGAAGATCACCATTTTTACACTCAGCAAATCTTTGTAATGATTACAATCCTCTCCAGGCACCCTTTGTTGTTGTTGTTGTTAAGTGCCATTGAGTCGGTTCCGAACCATAGTGAGGGTTTCCAAGGCTGTAAATTTTTACAGGAGCAGAAAGCCTCATCTTTCTTCCACAGAGCAGCTGGTAGTTTCAAACTGCTGACCTTGAGATTCACAGCCCGATTCGTAACCGCTACGCTACCAGAGCAACTCCAGGCATGTTTAGCCAACAGTGTTTACCTCTATTACCTTTTTTTTTTTTTGATGCACACATGCTACAGTGTAAATATATATTCATTTAAATGTCCAAAGGGCACATTTTGCAAGCCAGCCTCCTGCCCACAGGTACTTTGCCATTCTCAGTCCATGGGCCTATAGTCCACTGCTGGACTGTCTCTTTGCCATCGCCTCTGCCACCATCTCTGTTGTCGCTGCTTTTCTGATCAAGATCCCTTGCTCTTTTCATGTTTTTCCCTTTTGATGGTCCTAGGGTCCCTTGTTCCTGAGATGACAGATTAACTGCTCCCCCTTTTAGTTGCACCTCTTCTACATTTACAGTTGTGACAATCACCATTTGAACTGAAAACAATTACTCACAGCTGTATCATAAAGTCCTATCCCCCTCATCCCCAGACCCATCTGGACATGAGGAAAACTAATCAGTTGGGTTTCTGTCTTACTCCCTACCTTCTGACACTAAGTCCCCTCATAATGACTTGTAAGCCAACCACTTCATGCCTTTATAGTCCACCAGTTTTGGTAGCTGATGTCTAAGTTGCCCATCCCTGTCAACCCAGTGCATTGAAGAGACATGCTTTATCCTGATATGGAGAATCTGTCCCTATTCAGTTGGAATTTGGGGCAGCCTCATCCATAAAAGGGTCCATTTGATAAGGTTGTAGCAATTTACACTTGTTCCCTGTATCATACTTCTTTATCTTCATCCGGTCAAAATCTGGTCAGAAGCCATCCATGCTAGGTCCAATGGGTTCTGTCTGCAAGTCTGGGAGTTCTGGCATACCTTCCCCTCTTCAGATTTACTGGTTGCCCCATTCTTAACTTTAGCTCTCAGTGGCAAGGTGTTTGGACTCCAGAGTTCACACAT